GTTACAGACAGTGGATATGAAAGCAGACGATACAACATGGTAAGAGAGCAGGAAAGAAGGTGAAAGGAGAACATTTTAGAGAAGAAAATTTCCCGCTGCTGTCCGAATGCGAACGCAGGACCTATTTAATGAGAGTCAAGCATCGTAACCTCTAGATGATGAGAGCACTCGATGTATATATTATATAAACCTAACTAAGTTATATATAAACATAAGATAACTTTTATACATCTAATATAATATAGGAGATGCTTAAAAGCTATAATATATATATACAGTGCTATGTTTAGGTGTATGTGTGTATTTGACTGTGTAATATGCATTCTGTTTATGTTCTAGCGTTTTTGTCTGTATCAATGTATGTACGTGAGGCATTGCTGTGTGTGTCTGCTGAACCTGGTGTGGGCAATGTGTGTGTATACCCCCCGGGCAGTGCCACTGACTGTTGTGTCTTTAGGCCATTCCCAAAGGGGGGACATTTCTCGTTCAAGCACAGTAGAATTGTAAATGGGCCGATTCATGTCACGCTCATAACTGTGCCTGATCTACAACAGGGAACTGCTGCTTTTTCTTTCCTAATCCTTACTATTGTCATTTTCCTCTACTTCTTTTGCATGTTTGTCACTCTCTTGTGACCTGCTATTTCCGGGGTGCCTTTAGTTGAAGCAGACATTGTCCTGTTTAGGCTACAGAGGTGAGCAGAGTAAGTCTGATTCCCTGTAAAGACTTCTCTGTTGACACCCACCCCTTGGCGCTCATATGACCTTATGCAGTTGCGAGCGCCGTAAAACCCTCTACTATAATAATGATGTGTGTGTATGTGTGTTTGAGCATATGTGTGTGTGTATGTCTATGTGTGTGTGCATCTGTTCTTGCGTCTGTGCTTGTGTGTGCACGCGCGCGCGTGTGTGTGTGTGTGACAGAGAGAGTACACACATACAGAGATAGACATGCAGACAGACAAAGAGTTGATAAATCGACACCTGAAAAAAGCCCCCCCCCCCAAAAAAAAAAAAACCCACAAAAAAACAACAACAACAACAAACAAACAAACAAACAAAAAACAACAACAACAATAAACAAGCACAAAAATAATCAAACAAACAAACAAAAAACAACAACAATAAACAAGCACAAAAACAAAGAACTTGGAAAATAAGACCTGTTGATAACTTTAAAATCTTTGAGTCATCAGGATATCCTATAATGGGACTACAATAATATGTTCCAGTTAGCCTAATATAAGACTACAAAGTTTTCACATTATCTTTATAAAGTTACAAAATGTTTACGTTGACGGTTAAAAAAACACGATCAATTTTTCAGTTTCTCCTTATTTGGCCTGGTAGGCAAGGTTGAAAGCCCACCTCCCAAGAACCCCATTATGTGTCGATGGGGCGTGAAAAAAAAAGAAGAAATTGATTTATTAAATGCATCAACGTGTTTGCATCCCTGTATAAAACCTCGATATTTTCGTTACATAAGACATAACAATGTTAACATTATCTCATATATAAAAACTACCTGGTGTTTAATTTGTCTTTATGTAATACGTCATGACATTGACATCCTCCTTATATTATAAGACCACTCAGTGTTCTTTGTATGTCCCTTTGTATAAACTACAAATTGTTCAACATAATATACCATTTCACAAGACGACTCATGAAACGTATACCTCTCCTCCTCCCCTTCCTCCTCCCTTCTCCCCCTTCCCCTTCCTCCTCCCCC